TTGGTCTCCGTTTTTCACCATGGCCCTGAAATCCTAGATGTGCGACCACTAGTCTCTGGAATGAATTTTACATCAGAAGATATTACAGAGTTGGGGAAATCTGTAACATCTTTCTCTGTTTCCACTGGCATTTTTTGGTGATATATGTCTGGAGAAGCTAGACCAGACTGCATGGTTGGTACACCAACGTTTCAGTAAAAATATTGCGTTGTTTTGTATGTTTGATGATATATAAGGAGGAACGTGATCACTCTGATGAAGATCAGGCAGTGGTTTTTACGTCAACCGTGTTGCAAGATTTGGACTACATATTGAAAGATATATGACAAAGAATGAGTCATTTCTAGCGCTAAAATGAGTGCTTGGTCCTGTATTTAAAAGTATGTATTCGTTGTTAAGTAACAGGTCATCGATTCTGCGACCGCAGTCATTTGTTCTAGAACAGCTCCATGTGGTACTGTGATCATTGAAGTCGCCTAGAATAATTAATAGAGTAGTTGATCGATCAGGACTTGTAGGTCTTCATTTCGCCATGAAGCGTCGGGTAAGTATATGCATCATAACGTTATCTTCAATGGCTTGTATAGGGTTACAGCTACTGCTGGTAGAGGTGTGTTGAGATCGACACGACTAGCAGGATGTGTATTGATGATCAATATGGCAACACCACCCCTAGCTCATTTAGCAGGTTCTACGTCACGGCGAAAGGTCTTATAACCTCTTAAATTGAACCGGTCTTTTGATTAAAAGTGGGTTTTTTGTTAGTTCACTCACACATTGGTGTGTTTTTGGCCAGTATCAATCAATTTCAGCTCACAATAATGGGAGATACAGCCGTTAATGTTTCATTGAATAATATTTTTCATGGTTGGGATGAGGTTCTGTTGCTGTAGGATGCGTGGATGCAGCTTATTTCCTTGGTTTTCCTCTAGGCCATCCTTTCTTCTTTTTCTTCTTACGTGGGATTTTGCTGGGATCAATGGACTGGTTATCATTATTTTCCTCACTTACCATCGAACTTGTTTCTGAACCATCGGTCGTGTCTTGATCAATGGTGATGGATGATTTCGTTTTTTGTTTGAGGTATTCATCCTTAGAGTGTTTTGTAGGACGAGGCGATCGACTTCGATAGGCTGTTGCCGATACTTCTTTGCTGAATATGGCTGCAGGAGCAGTCACTTTCTGCCTCATTTGGTGGGAGTCTTGAAGGTTGATTTTCATTTACTATTTCACTTTGAGTGTTCGTAGTTAAGTCTTTTGTGTTGATTTTATTGTGAATTTCATTAAAATCCTTTTCTATGCAGATAGTTATTGCAAGCATTAGTTCTTTCAGTACAAATGAAGGCAAATTTGTGCTTTTAGTAACTGCTTCTACGTATGTAATGTTTCCATTATTTTCAGGACACAGAAGGTTTTTTTTGCTTGAGGATAGCTGATCTTCTTTCTGGCTTTTTCTTGTTGTATTGCTGCCTCCTGCTTATACTCGTAGCTTGGGCAGTCCCTTGACCTTGATGAATGCTGTCCGCTGCATTTAATACATTTGATAGGATCTATGCATGGATCACTATGAAATGACTTACCACAATGACATACTTTGATTCTCGCACATGTATGTAGATATTGGTGCACAAAACGTAAGCATTGAAGACACTGCATTGGTTGATGAATAAACATTTATACGGTTAGACGATGAATGCCTGATTTAATCTTCTCTGGTAACGTACAACGCTTGAACGTCAGGACATGGGACGTTGAAGGAATTATCTGCCCATCCCGCCTCATTGTTAGCCTACGACAGGCAATGACTCCTTGAGAACTAGTTCTTGAACTATTTCCTCTTCACTGCAAGTTTAAAGTCAACTACAAACCACAACACGTTTGCAGTATCAGCTGCCATGATTACACTTACTTCAAAATCTATCCTCATTCACGTGCATTAAACAAGTCACTACAAACTACAACATCAGCTTTGCAGTATTCAGCGATGCCATGAGCACTACTTCCAAAATCTATAGTCCTATTTTGCTCTAATTCATAGTAATCTTTTTGCCTTGATTGTCACTGACTGTTTCTATCAAGAGTCCAGATGGAGTTTTCATTATCTCTCTTAAGAGAGATCCAGCACTCATTTCTATTAGAAATGGGCTTACTTTATCAAAATTTCCTTCTGTTATTTTACGGTACTTAAACCTTTCTTAACGTGAACAACAGCACTTCTCCAAACCAAGGTCCATACAAGCAGAGCTGTTGAAGCTTTCAAGTGTCAGCATGCTGCGAAGTTGTTCTGCCCCTTCAGCATAGAGCTTGAGATCATCCATATATAATCGATGGGAAATGATCTTATTGGTGTTCTTCCGTAGCATATCCATAGCCTGAGGCATCCAGCATCCCACTCAAAGGGTTCAATGCTAGGCCAAACCAGAGAGGGCTTAGGCTATCTTCCTGGAAAATGCCTCTACAAATTCGCAAAGAATCTGTCTTGGTAACTCAATTTGCCTCTCATACACGCAGTATTTGTTCGCCAATGCCAGATCATGTTGAAAGAAATTTAATGCATAAAGGTTGAACCTTATGTAAGTTGAAAGGTTCGCTGCAAACCAAGAATGCGGAATGGAATCAAACGCCTTCCGAGAAAATTATTAGCCCACTGAAAATGATTGTGTTTCTTTTTACAAGTTTGATAAAATAAGCTGTTGTTAATAATTCTTTGCATTCTTCGAATCCTCTCCTACAACCAACCTGCTTGGCGAAACAGCCAATCAACGATCTCGTCAAGTTTGGTGATAAATAATAAGCGAAAGTTTATAAATTGTAGTAACATAATTCTCGGCAAACGCATTTCCACCTTTCGGTAAAATGAAGTCGACGCCTAAGGTACCAAATCGTGCAGGCGTGTAATGTTCGCTTTTGCAAAAATGTTAGGAGATTGGCCCGGCCAATCTACCATGGTATGCTTCAAACATTTCCACCAAAATATGTATTCCATCCTACTCCTGAGCTTTCCAAGTGAGTTCTCTTTATAGATCCTTTACATCCCCTTTTGAAATCACAAACTCCATTCATTTCCTGGATATTGCTGACAAGTATCTTCTTCCTGTCGTATCCAGTATGCATTCACCAAAATGTTGCTTTGGGGTGCAAATCTGAGACCAAAAGTTCGTCATGCAGAAGTATTGGGGGGGGTTATTGTCATTCCCATTGATATCCCGTCTCTAGATATCTGTAAAAGCCTTTTTGGTGTTAGAATAAGAAATTTTCTTTCTGCGTCCGCGGATTTATTATACCTTCTTAATTCTGGCCCTTAACTACTATTCTTGTCTTAATCTGCCAATCTGCAACCCTGAGTCTACTTAGCCAGGTCTTTTTGTGTTGTTGCTTTATAGTTTATAGTTGCCAAAAATTTTCTTTGAAATCTCTTCCTTTGTCTCTGAAATACTCAGCCATAATATGTGAAATCTCGTCAGCGTGGACAATGAGTTCATTTTTTAACCATGCCTATCTCTCTGTCAACAGTAGTTTGTAACGTTAGTTTGACATGTTAGCTAATTCATGCACTTGAACAATCGGTTACATTCACGAGAAGAAGTTCTGATGTAGTTAGGTCTCTGAATAAGTGGTTGTTCGTTGCCACCAATCTCATAGCCATAAGTGCAGCATTTCAGTTTTGGAGTGTTTGTGTTCTTAAATCTAATGATATTCCTTGTATGAAGTTTTGTAAGCTCATACATATTTAAAAGAGAGTTTGTCCAGCATTTCTGAGCAATTTGGGATGATCCCTGTTGTTCGTTTCGTCATCTCATGTTAGGTGTTTATGAACTATTGCAGTGCACTGATTTGGAAAAGAGTAGAGAGGAAACTTGGTAACTCTCTTCATGGCAATACTAAAAATTTCAAAACAGAAAAAAATCAAATCCTTTACAAGAGATGTCCTCAGTGCCGACACTAGGCATGGTGACCAGGTGATCGCTCATGGCCCTGCAAGTGGAGGGGGTTGAGGATGAGACAGATGGGAAAAAATTAAAGAAATTGAAAAAGAAATTAGAACTCAAGAAAATCGTTACCATAATTTTTAAAGACACAATAGTCTGATACTTCAATTAATTTAAATAGTAAATTATAGTCATTACTTGTAAGGTAGAATTTTATGAAAGGAAAAGTGTCACAAAATTTTGAAAATTTTACAGTAAAAAAAAAGCTTGTACTTAAATCTATTTTTTTAAATATTTATCTAAAAACTTCTTCTAGCTTAAACATTGTAATTTTTGTTATTTGTTAAAATAATATAACTTAAAGAGTTTCTTGATACAACTTTCACATTTTGAATTTTATTGGAGGGGGGAGTTACTTATCAGCATTGCTCTAGGCCCAAAATTGTCTAGCTCTGGCACTGGGTGTGCCAAAGGAAGTTCTTGGATTGTCCCCAACAAATGACATACCGTTGCAATGCCTGCAATTGCTTAGATACATTGCAGGCTGTGGGACTAGGCTACTAGGGTATAAACAAAGTTGGTTCAGTGTTATTTTATTCCTATGATGTGTATTAATATATCATTCAAGTAAACTGTTCACTTTTATTTCGATAATATTGTATATATTAGTAGTTGATTAATCTGGATAAGAATAAAAGAAGAGAAAAGAATAATAATTTCATATAATGCCCATGAAAAATATGACAAATGTGAAAATGGAAAGAGAACTAATTTATTGACTTCTTGAATGCAATGGAAATTTTGTAGTTATTTCATTATTAAATTCTAGTATTAGTAATCAATACTTAAGACATGCACAAAGGCATATTTTTTCATGTTCATGTGATACATGAATTTTGTAAGTATAACATGAAGTCTTGTATAAGAATTTGAGGACTGTTCAAAAAAATGCACAGATATACATAAAATACTTCAATAAGTCAGTTAATAAAGACATTATGCTCCCTCAGAATCTTGTTCTGTAGGGTCATTTAAAGAAAAGAGAAAAGTAAATAAAAGGCAGATTAAAGTATTAGAAACAGTTTTATTTTTCTTGGGAAATTAAATATTATGGCTTTCAGTCATGGGACTCTGCACATTTACAGAGTTAGGTGGTGCCACCTATCCATAAAATTAACAAAATAAATAACTACCACATGTAATCAAAACACTGAAATGATGATAGGGTGTGAATATAATACGCCAATCTCATTCTACATTTTACAAGTCTGACTTCCAAAAAATGCATAAATATATCTATGTATTTAAATGGTAAATATTTTTTATTTAAAGTCTTTAAGAAAACTTTCAATTACCAATGTTGTACAAATTTAATGAAAAATGAAGTACAATTTTATTTCTTAAGTGACTATGATATTCACATTGTAATATATACAAGTAATATTGAGCAAATTGTCCAACATTACCCAATGATTACAGAATGTACTTTTTCTAGTACCTTCAACATAGTAATGGATGGTAAGAAATGGCAATAACATTATAGAAATGTGTATCAAACAGTAGGAATAATTGCTCTTGCTCTCTCTCTCTCGCCCACTTTGCCAGACTTCTAAAATGTAACAAAAGTATAGCTCTATTTATTTTATGAAAATGAAAATTCATGTACAAACATCCACAGCAAACAACAATAAATAACACAATAGAAGCAGTTCATTCATTTACCATGAAACAGGGTGATACTTTCCTTAGGAGCAAAAAGAAATTCCTACAAACTACAATAAATAACTCTGTGATGTGTGAATTATATTAAACAATGAATATCTCTTAAAATGAAAATATTTACAATCATACACATGAAAATGAACATAAGGTACAAATTTGTTTAAAATAAGGATTATTCCTTTTCTTTTCACTAACACTTTTTCATTCACATTATTTCAATAACAATAAGCTCATATTGACAGAAATGTTCAAAAGAAAATACTTTCTTCAAGGCACAATGTCTTTAATCTAATATTTGGCCAAATACAAAACTGTGGCATTTAGATTTTTTTTAATCAAATGTGGTGCAAATTGTGGAATTAAAAATATTTCAAAAACAAAATTTACAATTTTTTGGTTACTCTGTAGTTTTAAAATGACTTTTCTGTTTCTACCAATTTTTGAAGTTTTCTGATGCACCATTTGATTTCACCAATTATGTGTAACTCTTTCTGATTACTAAAATAAACAAACAATTGAATTTCAAATTTTGTTTTTTCTTTTCCTAAACAATTTAAATGAGATCATATTCTTAAGAAGTTTAGGAACATGTCATTGCACAAATTAGAATGCTTTTATTTCTGTATGCTGCAATCAACAAACAGAAAATGTACATGGTACATACTCAAGTTAGGCTTTGTTCCCTTTACAAATGGCCTTGATATATTCCAATTCATTTCAACTTGTGTGAATTAGGAATAATAACATAATTCTATTACAATAAATAATCTATGAGATACATTTAAAAATAAAATGCATCAAAATCCAGAGAAATGATTTCTGTAGTACTGAAAGAAGAAAATCAGAAATATGTATAATAAAATTAAATAAATTATGCCTTCAAAAAAGAATGGACAAGTAAACAGAAATCAAACCTAAGAGAACTAGATTTGTGGTATATCATTCATTTGGCAAGAAGACAGGTATATTTACAGTTTTAATAAAATTTAAGGCTACTTTCAATTCATCAATTCTTATTCAATCTAACTTGTTTCAAAATAATTTTCTTTTGTTGAATTGGTTTTACTCTTTGTAAAAAATGATGTAACAAAATGTGTGGAAAATTTTAAATATTATTTTAAGAACTACAAAATTCTTCTTTAATGAGTTTATACTCAGCCGCAAGGGTCTCTAAGATGTTTACATACTTTTATAAAATAGATTTAATGAGCCATTCATATTACTGATATCACAAAATATCTTTTATTATATGTGAATTAAAATATCTTCAAAGATAGACCCCAAATACATTCCATAAATATGACTCCAAAAACTCATTATAAGATTATAAATGTGATAATCTATTGTTATAGAACAGTAGTACAAACTATGATTCCAGAATTTTTCTGCGGAAAACCTAGTTGTATTTCGAAGAACTATTCTGTCCATAAATTATAAAACATATCATCCTTGCCGTTTCTGAAATTCATACCACATACCAATTGCCATTTAGGTCTTGTAAATTCCACTGGATCTAATTACTTCAAGACAATGTAGAAAATTTTGAATATATAATCTTATATTAGAAATTTTTCTTCATTAAATTATTCATATTAGGTTTCCAATAAGAATCTTTCATTTTCTCTGTACTCCCACGTATGTTCAGTAAAATTATTGTGAAACTCAAATGCAGTATTTTATAAATCAACATTCCTGAATTTAAATCAATCTTTTAAATATCTGATGTTCGGTGGGTTCTTGTCCTAACAACAAACTGAAACTGTGTAATCAATAACTTATGCTTTTATACACCCAACTTTAAATACTAGTATTCACCATTTAAACATTCTTGGTCCATTTACACAACTGAACTTCAAAACATTGAGTCACAACTATGTAGTAATACTTACAATTCCTTTAACAATGACTCACATCATTTAAAAAAGGAACAACAATACACAATAGATATTGGTGGTGCAACAATAACATTTTGTTCCACAAGTCTTTGTAGAAATGTGGAATGAATAGTGAGCACAATTTTTATGTAAATAAAGTGAAACCTCATGTAGTTATACTTTGTTATTCAAAAAGGAGACACTGCACATCTATTCCACAATAAATTAGCCACAAAATGGATTAATCCTAACCAGTTACAATAATGATCCAGATAGGCATCAAAACTATCAAGTATCCACAGATCAGCTCCAGTATGGTATTGCGCTTTCATCATGATGTTCTAATCTAGTAGTATAATGTAATATTGTACCAAAGACTTAGAAGTGGTCTTATACAATAAATATTATTATAAGCACACCTAATATCAATATCAATATCATATTAAGTGATATTATCAAAAGAAAATATCAGTCATGAATACTCTCTTAAAAATGTATTTCAGTTAAAATTTTCAAAGTTTATCATGCTTTAAGTTTTTATGAAAGCTTCTAATTAGCATATGCAAGTCACATTGCGTGATCTACAACTTGTACTTTGAGATACCATAATTATATAAACTCACTGGAAACATCTTCTTGAAAAATGGAAAGGCATTTATCATTGAGAATATTAAATGTATTTATATGTATGAGAACACAGTGAAATACTTATTTAAATATAGTAATTCTTTCTTGTGCTCACACACATAATATTCATGTTTCATAAAACTGGTGAAGTTGAAAATATCTTTTTATACAATTATGGTAGTAAACAACTGTACAAGTGCTAGTACAAAACACTTTCTAGGCCCAAATAAGAAAAATCACACATTTGACACCATTGTTACTTGGAATATTTATCTATTATTAGAGAGGTTTCACTCTGAATCTGATTTAGACATTGAAATGACAAACAACAACCACTGAATTAATTGTATGTGAAAGTGTGTGTTCCAATTATATGTAAAAGATACTGGGAACAATTCTGATATAAATGGAATATGTTTACAATAAATATGTACAATAAAAACAGTATGGGAGCACACAATGGAACAGCACCTAGCACATAAACAAGTTCTGGGTAGTAAAAAGAAATGTCATATTCAACATACTGCAATGTTCAGACTTTTCAATATCTTACACTAGGTAGAACATGAAATCTACACATTTATAGTAAACTTTACATTAACATCTTTCTAAAAGTAAAGCTCCTCATTATTTTAAAGTCGTGATCACATAAAATCAATATGAAATATTTCACTGAATTTTTCAATAAAGTTGATCAATCAAAATGAGTAAAATCATTTAGTAGAGGCTTTCAAACTGAACAAAAGAACTGAAGTGTCTCTTGCACTGGTCAATGTGCAGTTAAGCCTTTTAGGACGTTGTTTAGCTTTATTTGAGAGTCTCTATTAAATTGCCACACATTTACGTACATTCAATGACATGTGGCTGCGATGATTCTATCACGCTTGGACGAGGAGGCTCACTTGCTGGCGTTATGCAGTGTGTTTGTTGTGAATCAAATGAATTATGAGGATCTATTTCAGTCATCTCCTTTGTCATGCCAGGGGCTTCATCTTTCTTATAAGCTGCAAATTAAACAAAAGAAAACTTAAAAATACAGAATTTGGGAAACATACTTAATAAAATGAGGCATGAAATTTATATTGAATTATTTCATAATTTTGGATATTATTTTGAATGAAATGAAAGTAAATGGTGCAGCTGCTAATAAAATTATTCTACACAAAATAAAGCTGCAAATATGAAAACTTTATATAGAAACCTAATCATAGTATTATGAGTATAATTTTGTGATATACATTTTTCGTACACTGAGTTTGAATTATTTTTTCCCCTTAAATCAACATTTTCAGATAGGGATGTGTGTTTATATGATATTAAGGGACAAAATCTGTAATGTGATCACAGAATGAAACTATACCAGAAATATGAAATCATCAGAATTCTACAAGAAACGACTAAAAAAATAGGTTAAAGAGAGGATTATGTATAGCACATTGATATTATCAGCGTTAAAAATCAATGTATCAGCAATGTCACTCAAAAAAAATGGGCAGCACATTTAAGAGAGAAATAGCAGTTATAAGGTGAAGCTTGCATTGTCATGACTAATCAGAAAATGTTAAAATCTTAATAATTTTGAGAGAGCTCATAAAATTCTTCCACTACAGAAATCATAGGCCCTTCAATAATTCAAATCAAAAATATTTTTGTGTTATGTTTCAATTCATAAGGAATCAACTCAATGAGAGATATGTTAGAAATAGATTTGTTTGATTGAAATTTTAAAATTTTACAATAATTCTCACAAAATTTCAGAAGAAGCTTGAAAATTCATAATTATTTAAAGACTTAAAGTATCTAAAGACTCACATAACAAAACTCACCCATGCTCACATCGGGATTCGGATATTCATAATACCCTGGGGGGGAACCAGCAGCTGCGGCTAGGGCCAGTTCCTCTTCAATGTTGTTGGGGCGGCAGCTAGTTGTTTTCCAGTGAGTTCTAGAAGAAAAATAACAACATTTATTAATTTCGAATTGTGTTTTAATATATTCAGATTTGTGTGTATTAAAGAAAAAAGAAAAGGGTCATCCTTTTATTTTGCATTTCACAAAATTCTTACAGAACAATTTTATTTAGTTTTTTATCTGTTAATTTTTTTTCTGAGATTTTGAGTAGATTATGAATAGTGAGATCACATTGTTTAATGTCTCAGTCTATTTGTTACAGAAGTAATTAAGACAATTTCTTTCACTGTGCTTACAGTATCAGAAACATGGATACAATTCCAAGATGGCTTAACATTATATGCAATTTATGGCATTTCCTAGACCATCCACACTTAGGGATGCCCCCCCCAAACATAACACTAAAAAAAATGTATATTTAAAATAAAAGTTAATCAAGTAATCTATTGAATTTAAAAATAAATTGTTTATACTCTAAACCCTCGCTAATCCAGGTCTCAGTAGTCTAACCCATATTTGCCCTCGCTCATGCAGCTCATGAGCGCCCATAGTCGCTCATGCAGAAATGAATTATGCAACATTGAAACATTGTGTAATTAGTTATACAAAACTACAGTTTTGAAGTTGCGGCTTTCTTGCAATCCAGTTCAGTATTGTGTGTTTTGAAAGGAATCACGTTACGCTAGACCTCCAGCAGCAACTCGATCTTACACTTCTTGTTGAACCGAGGTTCTTGGCAGAAAACCGTTTCTGGCGAGTTAGTTAGTCTTACATTCTTAAGTAGCGCAAAAGGATGTTCTCATACTAGTCGAAAGAAAATTTCAAACATATGTGAATATGACAGAATCTTCGGAATAGAGTATGTTAAGACAGCGAGGTAAGAAGTCGCTCGTAATAGGTGATTTCGTTTTGTTTCCTCAAACTTTTAAGCCATATTTTTCAACGTTGGCAGCACTCAAAAAGACGTGCATAGATCAAACGTTCTATGCAAACAAATGCACAGTTTTGTTTGGACAGGTACTGTACGTGTTTAAACTAATTTCAAAACCTCTCAATAGTTCCGCACTTCCGGTAATCCGGCACCTATATGTGATGGCGGATACCAACGGCAGCCAGCGGTCAATTTTACCTAGCCGTTTACCTACCGCCCCAAAAGGCATAGCCCGACTGCATCCCGCTCTCTTTTCCTCTTTAGGATAATGATTGACTTCGATGGTTCCTTGGTCTGCTTAGAATCACTTTAATCGATTCTAATTTATCCTCTTCAGCCTATTTTCAAGAATCATTTGCACTTTTTTTTAGTACTGCCAATGGCTTAAAAGCTTGAGGAAACAAAACATGAAATCACCTAACACGAGCAACTTCTTACCTCACTGTCTTAGCTAACATATACTATTCCGAAAATTCTGTCATATTCTCATGTGTTCAAAGTTTTCTTTCGACTAGTACGTGAACATCCTTTTGCGCTACTTAAGAATGCAAGCCTAACTAAAATTTTAACTCGTTCCGAAATACGGGATGGGAGAAACGTGAAGCAATCGAGCTGTGCCTTCTCAGGTAACGAAAAGTGAAATGGGATTAGTTGGGAAGTAAGGGAAAACTGACCGCGGAAAACTGACCCGGGTAATTTCCTTAAGTGCAAGGTATGGCCGGATTAGCGAGAGTGTAATTAAACACTTGACGAGCGTACAATTAGTGTAATATTGAGTGCACAGATGTTTATTTTTCTTAAAACTGTGATTCTTATGTTTGTATTGTTATGTAAATGTGAGGGGTTGATGTTATAGAGCGATTACTATAAGAAGGGAACGCTATGGCATCTACTGCTGGTAACAAAACTGCAGGTTACGCTCATGCCTCATTTCGTGAATGGTTTCGTTTACAGTTAGCTCATTTCTAAATGAGTTGCAATGCCATCGACCTACTCAGCGTTCATATGTTTCTCGACCTGTCAAAGCGGCCCCCCTTAGAATAACTCCTGTGTACAGAGAGAAGCGCAAGTGGCTGGCGCACCTGAGTCCGCTGGCGCTGATGTACTTCTTGCTGCAGCCCTGGCAGGTGTAGGGCCGCTCGTTGGTGTGCAGGCGCTTGTGCAGCTTGAGGTGCACGAACTGCGTGAACTTGGCGGGGCACAGGTCGCAGGCGTACGGCTTCTGGCCCGAGTGCAGGCGCAGGTGCGTCTTGAGGTTGGAGGTGGAGCTGAAGCGCTTCTTGCAGATGTCGCACTGGTGCGGCTTCTCGCCCGTGTGCACCAGGTGGTGCTTCTGCAGGTGCGCCAGCTGCGTGAAGCTCTTGGTGCACACGCTGCACTTGAACGGGCGCTCGCCGCTGTGCGTGCGCAGGTGCACCTTGAGGTTGGACAGCTGGCCGAAGGTCTTGCAGCACACGTTGCACTCGTAGTGCATCTTGCCGTCCTTCTTCTTGAGCGGGTAGGGCAGGGAGCGGTAGCCGCGGTTGGGCTGACTGCCCGCCGGGGCCGGGCCCGCCGCCGCCGCCGCCGCCGCCGCCGGGGCTGCACTGGGCTGAGCTGCGGGCCCCCAGGCCGCCGTCGGGGGACAGCGAGCCGGGGGGCGGACCAGCGCGTGGCGGGCGTGGGGGCGCCGCTGGGCGCTGGGGCGGCGCGGGGGCCAGCGGCGCCAGCAGTGGTGCGCCGGGTGCAGGTGGTGCGGGGCGGGCGCGGAGGCAGGCGGCGGGCATATAGGAGGAGGTGGAGGAGGGGGCGGGGCGGCGGCGGGCGGTACAGGCCGTAGGGGTAGGGCGGGCTATGGCCCCCGAACATGTGCGGCGCCGCTGTTGAGGTAAGGCCACTCTGGCGTGCGGCGGGCGGGGGCGGGTCAGAGCAGCGCCTGCGCGTGCGGCGTGCGGGGGCACGGACGGGGTCCGCGCGCGTGGGGCATGGCGTGGCGTGCGCTGTGGCGTGGGCGAGCGGCGCGCGGCGCCAGGGGCGTGGGGTGGACTAGGTGCGGCGTGGTGCACGGCGGGAACGGGGGCGGGGGCGGCTGGCCAGCAGGGGATGGGTGGAAGACGGGGCGGCGACGGGCGCGGGGCGGGCGCGGGGCTCGGGGCGGGGTGGCCGGCCGCCGAGCTCGAGCGGGGCTGCACGGCAGGGCGCCCGTAGCGTGCGACTTCTTGTAGGTGTACGGCCATCTCCGGTGGGCGAGGAGGGCGCGGGGGCGTGGCGTGGCTGGCCGCGGGGCGACGCCTTTTTGGGTTGTTTGTTGTTGGAGTCCGGCGTTGCGCAGCAGGATGTGTCTCCAGGATGCTGGTGTGGCGGGCTTTGTGTGGCCCAGTCCGCCCGCACGTTCAGCCTCGTAGTAGGGCTTTCTCGGATGTGGCACCAGCGGGAAGTGGGCTCGGGCGGGGGGGGAGCCAGCTTGATGAGGTGGTGCTGGTGGGCGGTCGGTCCAGGCCTCCGCGAGCGACGGCGGCAGCGAAGGGACCGACTGCGCGGGAGGTCCTTCTCCTCCTCCTGCTCTCGGCCCGTCCTTGTTTTGTAATGGACGGCCTTGTGGTGATTTTGATTTCACTCTTCGGTATTCGTGTTTTTCAGCACGTCGGGGCTTGCTCCACAACAACCGCACTTCTCTCGTTCTTGGGGGTTTTATGCTAAAAGAAAATAACTTGTTAGAAACGAACAATATAATAATAATAATAATAATAATAATAATAATAATAATAATAATAATAATAATAATAATAAAGCAACAACAAGGCAGCCAAATGGAAGAACAATAAACAATGAAACGTACCTAAAATCCAATACGTAGTTGTTATCGCTGTCTGAGTCACTACTGTCTTCAGGAGGGGTGAATTCATCGTGGTATCCATTGCTGTGGTACCCTTCATCGGAACGCACGGAGCCGTCCGTCGGTGTAGTCCTCGATTCGTAGTGGAGGTGGTGGCTTGACTCCTTGCTCGGAGAGTCACTGGTTGACGTAGACACCGCCATTACCTCGGGCGCTACCGCCTGCTGCTGAACCTGCTGCCCTGGAAAAGAAGGCCCAACAACATTAGCACATTCTAGTATAAACAGATTTCGAGAACACATTTTGCATATCTCTCACTGGTCATCCATGAGGAGTTACCAATAACTACTTCAAACGAACTTTCACCCCGAATCCTTTGTTATGAGTATCCTTCTGGGTACATCCACGATATCGAATCGAATGAGAGAAAAAATATTTGATGCTACTTGCCCTACAATCATTTAAATAATCACATGGAATCTTTAAGGTAAATATTCATAATCAGAAAGTCTTCTACTGCTACTCTCCCTACGGGCAGCTCATTGGTCAGTGTGGTCGCTTTCCATGATGAGAACCCGGGATCGATTCCCGGCCGGGGCAGATTATAGTGTGCGCTTTCCTTGCAATGTCTCTTGTTGTGATTGTTGCTGTGTGACGATAAGAGAGCTCACATCTCAGGTTGAGAAGACCAGAATACGGCGTGGGGATGTCCATGTGCTAACTACACGTACCCCTTAACCCGTGGGCGCAAGGCCTTGGCTCCGCCAGGAGCAGTTGAGCCAGCACAGACAGACTACTACTTTGTACCTTCATAGTTCACGAGTTCGATAGACTACCAAGCAACATGAAAATGGCCGCCGGTAGTGAAACAATGCTAAACTGTCTGAAACTTATATAATCAACACGTTTATATGCGTTCGTAGGCATCCGCGGACGGAGTCCATACATTCTTAGCTATCCGGGATGAGCCGCGTCTCGGTCAATTGTACTGACGTTTCGGCCATCTTGCTGTAGCCTTCTTCAGCAAAATAGCTTTGGACCACAGTAAGATGGCCGAAACGTCAGTACAATTGACAGAGATGCAGCTCATCCCGGATAGAATGCAATCAACACGTTTAAATTTCGATACAAGGCCGTTTTCGGCTTTACTACTTTCATTGACGTTGAGTTTTTAATATTGAATATCTTGGAAACTATTAGAGAGCTGCAATGAGATTTGGAGAGCGAGACTGCAAATCTGTGTTGTAAATCCAAGAAATCGTTCAGTGAAAAGGAACCTAAGGTTCAAAGAGAATTGCTTACGAGATATGACCAAGATGAGCGAAGCTGCAGCAAGTCATAGGAATTTCGAAATAAATATGACATCCAAATAACAACATACGACATTACGATCCTAGGAAGGCAGTTCTGATGTGAAAATCGAATCATTGTCTTAATACACAATGAAATCAAGAGGTGAATCATCTAGAACATTGTATGTATAACAGTTTTTATACAAATCGAGTTAAGAGAATATTTAACATCTTGAGCGATAGTGTAAAATGGCATGAGAGAAAAGAAGCAGATACGCAAGAAAATCAGGTTTATCCAGAAAATGGGGGCTCCGCAAAGGGCAACAAAGAACGCAAGGGAACCGCCGAAATAGCCTTCACATGGTCAAAGCTCACAAGACAAAGGGATGAGTTAATACATTAATTCCTACTAAATAGGAGCCCCTATATGTTTTTAAATAATTTTTAATACGTTTATTAATATTTTATACGATATTTTGGGTGCTTTCCCTCAAAAAATGATCTTGTAAATTTCTTTTCTTTTCTTTTTAATAATTCTGTTTACGTGATGTTTATGATTTCTTGTTGCTCGGCACACTGTTTCCTTATTCTCTGCTAACTCCCTGCTTACTTATGTTTGAGGAAAAGTTCATCTACAATAACAGTATAGGTATTATTATTATTATTATTATTATTATTATTATTATTATTATTGTTATTGATCCGGTGTAAGCTCTACCTAAACAGGGTTTCCGATGAAACTTTTTCAATATATAATGAAACACAGCCATATTGTTTTTCAACACGGCAGCATCTATTCTTACGTGTTCGAATTTAATATTTCAAATATTCCGTAATAACTCACAACTTCATAATTTACGGACTTTTAATAAGATATAGTGCTCTCTCTCTCTCTCTCTCTCTCTCTCTCTCTATATATATATATATATATATATATATATATATATATATATATATATACCGTGTTTTGTACTGTTTTGTTTTGCTCTTCATTGCTTCGTCTCTTGCCTCTAAAATATTTAATTTTTAATCTTTTGAGATCATATGGCTCCTCTTAGTACAAATAGTCACGCATTACATTTTAAATTGCAAAATTTACATCATTTCTTTATTTATTTGTTATAGTCATATTCATTTTCAATGTCACATTCAATTTCAATATTAAAACAATATTATAGGGCCTTACAGTTTGGCCAAACCCATTAAGATATTAATCCAATCTTACATAGACTACTCTCTTCAGCACGTTTTGCGCTGAACAAAGCGAGTACCTAGTTATAGCCGTGTTTTCTTTTTGTCCGGCGCAAACGTTTTTCTAGGCATATTTCGTAAAGCTTGGTCATCGTGAAGCAATATCTAAAGAACAAGTTTTACCCCAGCCTTCAGCTTAACTCTATCCTTCATTGCACAATGATGTAGTTCTTTAATTTTCTGAAAAACGAGTAGTTTACGCGTAATTTTGAATCTGGCTCTTACAAAATTTGTTCTCAAAAAATGTTTCAATGTTTTCTCGGATAGAGTAAAAAACTTCAAAAATTTCCCATTTTTGACAAACACACTATATTTTTGAAAACTGCAAACAAATAATTAATATTGTAAAACGACAATATTGTTGATATAGATTTTGCCTGCATGAAATATGTCCTTCAAAACTAGATCTTGAAGTATGTAAATAAAAATATCTGAAGTTTTGGAAATTGTAAATGAAAATGATCAATTTCTTTTAAACGTCCGGAAGGTAGAGTTTAACCGTGAGTCTGGTGGTGTACTACTGTGTTCAAAGCACGTTACCTACGTAGATTTGGGCACTTAAAAGAGCAAATTTGTGTATCTCGTGTAATTCTATAGTTTTTTTCAGAAAAAGGTTACACCATTGGGCTGAATTCCAAGATATTATTTACAAAACCATAAACTTAAATTAAGTTATTCGTTGATAGTTATACTTCCGTTATATAAGGAAGTTTCATAAGTGGATGGAAATTCCTGAGCTAAGTCACATGAATTGATAGTAAAAATAACCATTCTCAGCAGCCGTCAGATAGAATCTCGATATTCCCATGATAGGTTTTAATTTACAGAATATAAATACTTCTTCTTTACCTCCATTAGAGAAATCGTAAGTTTCCTTTACATGAAAGTGGTCATGTGGCGGAAGCGAAACGTATGTGCCTTTGCACACATTTGAAAGAAATCCATTTCATTCTTATTCACGAACACCACCTTAAATCGTAAATGTAACTGGCAGATGCAGTAGGTTACATCACATAGTTAACTGATGCACTTGTGTAATGATAGTGTGCAGTCTTTCGTCATTCGGTTTTTACATCCGTAGGCTGTGCTTAACTCTACCGTTTTACTTCTTTTATAGAAGCTTCCTCTACCACAAAAAAAAAATGGAATGAATTACGGCACCACGGTCACCACATGGTTGCCCCCAACATGGCTACTTAGAAACTATACAATTTTCAACGCTACATTAATACGTGAATCTAATACACTATTTTATTACACTGACTTTGCTGCTTTGAATCCATTATTTTCATTCTACTTTACTCTAGAGCAACTACTTTTTCTACCGAAAGTTCTTATGACTGTGAAGTTTAATCGCGAGTTTGAGAAATACTAAATAGTTGTAGTTTTGAAAAAGCATGCTTCAAATTGCTTAAAGCATTGGTCACCCCAACTGAAAATGGAACCCAAGGGTCCTCGCTTGCCCCCAGATGTAATGCATCAAGACGCGCAACGCACGCCTTTCCACTTGATCGCCATGAATATTCCTCGCGCAACTTTTCTTGAACGATGGATTGAAGAAATGCGGGTAGAGTGGGGGTATTAGTTACGAAATCGGCCGCTAGATTTTATGAAGCAATGCCAATCTCTGGAGAATCAGTCATGCCTTCGCAACTTTCTCAATAATTTGCGTTCTAATTTTCTCAGGAGTTCGAGGTATTTTCTGTGATGAATCTTTACCTGCTTTGGTCATTTATTTAAATTTTTTGGAGATAATTATGGCCAGAAGTTCTCGTCTTCAACGGAAAATAGTTTCTATTTCGCACCAGTGAAGATGTGTTTGGAATGTTGTCATCAGTGCACGCTGCGAGATTTTGTCTTCAACTGTTTTTGTGTCAGAAAGGGAGAAGCAAGTTCAGCTCAAGAAAAGGTGCGCGAGTAATACCAGATGTTCTCGGAACGGGCGGACCGAAGTCCATGAGTGGAGCATTGCTGCTTCGCATTGTAGCAATTCGCACACTTGCTACAGAAGTGACACAACTCAAAATGTCAGGTTTTCCATTTTTCCATAAATCACGAAAAACGTTTGTGACAATAATGAAGCATTACTATGACAAAATAGATTTATTTGCACTAGTGAGGACGCATATAAAGCCAGGATTAAATGGTGTTTTAGGTATTTCTACCATTAACCCCAAGAGCTGACCTTTATTTCTGTTACCTCACTTTTAGTGTCTAGTGCTGCCCACTAGCAATGACCACACAACCACCCACTATCGGCCATATTGTGAAATTATAGAACTACACTTTTGCTGACTGGTCAAGTATCGTTTCCGCAACTGTGTCACAGTAACAACTCAAAAATAAAAATGAAGATTTTTGAGTTGTGTCACTTTTGTAGGAAGGGTGCGAAATGAGGTCACTCGGTTTTGATTCTCGCGCAAAGCGATGGCCAATTTGAACTATGAAATATTTCTGTTACACAGTGACAAATTCATAGTAGTGACAATGAGTGCTCATAATTGACGTACGTAATTTATTTTTATCTCGTACCGGTCGTAATTTTCTCACTTTTTTCGTCTCAATCTTTTTCTTCTCATGTGAAAAATCTACGTCACATAGATGCATTCTTCATTTCATTTTTATTTAAAACAAGACATGAATGTTAATTTTGAAATACAACTGTGTATCTGAATTCGCAGAAATTATGTAAAAATGAAATATGTTTTTACGTGTTCAAGGTATCGAACTAAAACTGAAGCCATTAAAAGTCGAAATACCGATATATACTGCGTTATGTTTCAATTATTATTTTGCTTAAATCTTAAGCTAATGAAACGGTTTTGGTTTTCAAAAGATCTTCATAATTTTGTGCAGTTCGTTCCGCTATGAGGTGACTCTTACTGTAAATATAAAGCTCCTCGAGTTTTCAAGAGCTTAAAATAGGTAAGTTAGTGTTTTGTTTTATAGAAAATCTCAGACCAAAAATTATTTCTTTTTAATTCTTGACAATTATTCCCAGTACTTTCTATACACATTGACAAAATTTTAGTCGGGCAATATTTTTATAAAAGTTAATTCAAGCGAATATAGTTGTACTGTTTTTGCTAAAACTACGAAGAAATATTTCTTTTGGGTTAGTAAATTTGTTACTTTCACACAAACTGCGGAGTGAGTCAACTACATTTTTCACACAATATAGTGAATACAGAACCACAATACGATCGTATGTTTTAATAGAGAATAGGAAAACTGATTGAAACAGTTTCAAAACCAAAGCGTTTTTTTAAGAAAAACTGAAACCACAAAATTTTAATAACTGGAAACGAAGCTGCAGTGTTAATGTAAACGGTTTGATCCATTGTTTGCACTTTTACTAATTCTACCTTCATCACAGAACATTTTAGCTATTCTAGTTGCTAGTTACACTGGTAAGTACAACTGAAACTTACTTATCCTTTGGAGCATGAGCTCTCCAGTCAAAGGGTAGTTTAGCCTTTCGGCAAACTCTCTGCAGTACCATACTAGCAGTTCTTGGTTGGGCAGAATAGGTTTAATGGTGTAGAAATAAATATTCATCTGTAAAGAAAGAAAACAATATGGTACACTTTGTAGAACTTTGTGGGCAGTTGCTGCAAAGCTTACTTCTATGCTTATAGAGCGCAAAGCTTACTTCTCTGCTTACCTTGTACTGGCACGCGATGAGATTTTGAGACTCAGAGGAATAAGCAGGATTGACATAGCGCATCCAATTCGATTTGCTCGTGTCATATCCATCCATATAGTAGAAAAGCTCATTATCTTTATAAACCTGCAAAGAAAATTTACTCATAATCTTGCAGCAATGACAAATTCACTTTTCGTTTTTACGTAACCAAACAAGTTTCCGGTTCTTCTTACAAACTACGTCTCTCCAACGTATTCACATGCCCAATCACAGCCTAAAATACCATATTCTCATATCCATCGACAAATTGAATTGTGAAGTGTGAAATATTGCTGCTTACTAAGTACTTACTACACCAATTATTATTATAATGTAGTGACAATTTTATATGGGTATATGAAAAATGAATAAAGGAAATTTGACAATTTTTCAACAATTATTTATGGCATAAACAGGAAAAAATCATAGAGACAAGCATTCTTTTGCCACTGTTTGCAAAGGAGAGTTTATCTCTCGGAAAATTGTCCGGCGTTTCTAAGATAAGTTAATTAAATATAATAATATGAATACGAAAGGAATGTTCATTTATAATTATATAGGATTATAACTATTAAATATATTGAATAAAAATTCAAGGTGTATTTTATAATATGGAAACGATTTCGCCTACTCCAGTTTGAGGAGAAAAAAACTAAGGAAGAGGTAAATGAAGGATTTTCGTTACATTTGGCATATAGCCCCAAACTTTTCAAATATTGTGAAAACGAAAGTGATATACGACTGACTGATGACTTGTTAACCTAAACTTGAAAATGCGTTAAACGTTAACCAGTGAAAACCTCCTAGGTCAGAATAATTAAGGGTTTACATTTTTTCAATTACTTTAGAACCCACATTGAAAAATACTAAATACACTATTGCGTTATTCGCGTACATATTTTTATTCAAATTACGAAGTACGTTTAGGCAAATGAGGACTTTTCGTGTTATTTGAACACTTGGCAATGTACCCCCAATGATCACCCAAGTAATTCTCAAAAAGGATGATGGCGACATGTTTTTTACATCTTATTTTCCGATTCTTCTTCTGAAGTCGATATAGGAAGTTATTTCCTTTTAATGACGTCTGTGTCTTAAAAGTTTGTTATTATAAGGTTCTAAATGGCGAACATAAATGACATTTTAATTAAAAAATAATTTAATGTCTTAAAGACTAATTTATTAAATTAAATATGACAAAAAAAACGTTGAGTGTCTGTGAGAAACGTATAATCTTACTAATCTTGTAATAATTCACTCAGGTTTTAAAAACGGTTTATGTGCAATTCACAGCATATGTGTCGTAAACGAGAAATTATTTACGATCTAGAAGCAGACAAAGAACCTCATAATTAAACAAATTCGTCACGAAACGCGATCGCAATAGGATCCTACAGCCAGGAGAAATTTCATGTTTCAGGTAATTTTTTGCTTACTAAATGTTCGAACAGTTATTAAGATTATATGACATTTTGAAAACAATAGAAACAATGATTGATTTACAAAAGTTCTGTTTTAAAAAATGAATAAATAATAATTTTACAAAATACATCTGCAATTGAAAACAAGAAATAAAAACAAAATTAGTGTTGAACAGCCTTTTAGATTTGACGATCCCCTTAAAACATATACTACTTCCAGTTATTTTGAGGGACCATAGCACTACTTCACATTATAAAGATGAACATCCAGAAGAAAACGTGTTTTTTTAAACTTTTAATATTTGTTAAGTTACTAATACTTGTGAGTAAAATATTACATATAATTGTGCACAGATGGTAAATAGTTTTATGATGATACGCTAAGATTTGTTGAATAAAAGTACTAATATATTATAGATATTGATAGCGACAATAGGGAATAAAGCAGTATCAATCATTAAGTTTCATTTCCAAATCTATCGTTTTGTAAATGTATATTCAATACAATTCCAATTTTTTAACGAATGGCAGTCATGAATCTTATCAGTACCATTCACTAATTATTTCTCTTACATTTCTCAATCACATTTCACTACTTTCATAATTAGCTTCTGCAGCCTCTTCACTGAATTTCCCATGATTTTCCCTAAAATGTTATGTCGTATCTCAGGGTATAGTTTTAACATTCTGTTAAAAGTCTTGTACATCTATTCAGGGGAAGTACCCAATATTGTCATTAATTAAATCAATCATGTCATTGACAACGTTGGTTCTCAATAAAAACTCAATATGAGATTAGTCGAAACGATGACTCAAATGTAAAATCAAAAGACTTTTCTAGAACCTACTAGAGATTTTCACATTACCAAAGAAATTTGAAAACAGTAAACTTTCTTAAAACGTTATTTTTATAAAAATGTAGAGTATATTTCAAAATTCCGCAATGATTTTGTAATTATTATTAACACTCTGGTAGTTCTTAGACAAAAATAATTTTAGATCCCATCTCTATGTCAACTGTTTCCGCGAGGGCCGCCATTTTGGGGCACGGTGCAACGAGAGCAGTGTCTCCGCTGACGAGTTCACGTGATGCCCCAATCAAATGCACCCACAAAATTAGTTGGAATTTGCACTCGACAACACTTTGCATTTTTTAATTTTTACATACAAATTTTGTTTATTTTTCTTATAAAATCCTTCGAAAGGGTATTTCTAAGAAACCATGCAGATAATATAGTTTTCTAGACAATTTTTAACTCGCTTGTATAAAGATGTAGGTACGACCTAGACTTAAGACATAGGAAACTAACTAGTGCGAGAAAGTCTGTGTCATTATGTAGCACCACTCGTTTTTAGCTTTTTGTGGCTTCCAGATGTATGTGAATTTGGAGAGTACTAAAATAAGTGTATTGAACGCTGGACAAATATTTTAGTTAAACTGGAATTAGTGAATTTATGCAATTAATACAATATTTCTCTAATTTTTCGCTTTCTAAAATATACACTTATATATGGAGTATAGAGAAAGTTATGTAATGATGAATACATAAAATGTTGATTCAATATTCAACAAGCAACTAAAAATATGAAAAAGTCTGTACCATTTTGTAGCACCACTATTTATTATATACGTGAATCATAGATGGCAGTACGTGAGCGCATGGCTTCTTTTGTTTTTTTCGTACAGAAAACTACACTATCTTTGAGGGAATAGATAACTGAAGAAAACTAATACAAGTACCAGAAATGTATGTGTTGAATGTCTTTAATTGCATTTAAAATTTCGAACTATCTTACATTGGAGTAATACTTCATTGTTAAAAAATTCATCTCAGATGTAGTGATAAGATATCTAATAGAAATGATTCATTGATTGATAGGAAATCCATCTTTTCAAAATATTAACATTCAATACGTTTTTAAATTCATTTAATATAGTTTGCAAGAATTTTCATGTTAGCACTACTATCAGAAAAAACAGATATGTATTTTACTGCCATGATTTAAAAAAATACTTCCATATTTTGTAGACAGAAAATTTGAATTACGTGTCAAAATGTGGGGAAGTAGGGGGAGTTATCCAGGTCCTGGAAGGCCTTGGTGCAAAAGGATCAAATGGGGCCCTAACTGTGATATCTAAACAAGAAACCTGGAGTTTCGAATCTAATTTTCATATGTACATGATGTTATGCATTATATTTAACTATTTAACCAGCGAATACATAAATATCCAAATTTTTTATCGAGGATCCCATCTTCGAAATCCTATTCCGAAAATTAGTTCATAATGTGTGTATAAACCCCGATAAAAAATGTGCAACCTTTATGTTTCATCAAACAAGGGAAGTTACTCATATGGCCGGACGGTTTGCGAGCTGACTCCAAGTCTCCTGACTTCGCGGTTCCTCAGCTGACTCCAAGTGCAGACGCACAAAGACGTTTCAAGCTCTCTCAACCACTAAACCACCAGTCGTATATCCTTTTTTTCGTAACAATTCTCTTACATACAATTGCGGTAATAATACGGATTAATATTAATTCAATATTCGGGTAACGTGTAATTTGTTATGGATCTTTTTAGATGAAATACTTTTGATTTCCCCCCATTAGAAATCCTTATTGAGTGTTCGGGCGAGAAGGTGGGGGG